AGGAGATTCAGTGATAAAAACGGAACCAAGAAATGAAATTGTCGATTCCCCACCTGTGTTCATTGAAATCGCGCTGCTCACTAGTAACGTTCAGGCTTCCGCTGGTGGCGAAAAGAATCGTCGTGTCCAGGTCGCCGATGATTCCGGATACGGTATTGGCAGCGTTGATACAAGCCTGAGTGCCCTTGGAGCCTTCGTGTAGAGATGCCAACACCGCGTTTACTCGCTCCACTACCACACGCGAGTTGTCCGTTAATTCGCGATGAGTGCGCTAAAAATGTAGGTGATTTTTACGCCAAAATTAGTACACCCATCAAAAAATCAATACGAACCTGATCAGTCGGATGCGCACGACGTTGTCCAGCCACCTTCACCGTGTCGATGCATGAGGTTCCGAGTTTTTGCACGGCTACTTTGAGTTTTTGAGCTACACTCGGTGATGGAAGCATGGCTACGGCCTAAAATCAAAGCTTGATTAGTAGAGCAATCAAAATTAACAAGTGATAATTTTACTAGAATATTTACCTGTCTGGCCTCTTCAGCCAATAAACGATACTTCTCGCTCAGCGCCAAGGCCATGTTGCCCAGCGCTTGAGGTTCTGAATATGGCATGTCGGTAGCGGTTCGTCTGGAACAGAAGATTAATGACAACCAAAAAGTACACCGCTGAATTTCAGGTAGTAAAAATTGGAATTTTGATCAATTTCAGGAAAAACTCAACACTTAGAGGTTTTGGAGATAGATCTCTTCATGTTTACAACATAATAACTTTAAGTCCAACAACTGCCACTCCTCAGACGGTTGAACAAATTATGCGCCCAGCTGCGTGCCACTGCAAGACTAGCGGCGTGCCGCAATAAGTGCCCAATCTTCAGCCAGCCTCGCTTTCTTCGTACCGTGACAGAGGCTTGTCGCGCGCATACGGCAGAGTCCGCGGACAGGTTCACAACGTGTGGTGTGCGATGGCAGACTTAAAATGATAAAACTGTTAAAATTGACAACGCGAATCCACTACCAGTAACGCGCTTGACTCGTACACTGGCTTTCCCTTCCTTGCTCGCGACGGTCCTTTTCAGGTAACCATTTTTTTGCGTGTCACGTGGACCTACCCCCGCCGGAGCGTCATGTGAACATCCTTCCTCCTTCAAATTGTAATAAGAACTCCTAAATGGATATCATAAACTGTCCGAAAGTACTTAAATTGCCAACAGGGTGCTAGACCTTGTGAAACTAGCTGGCAAGCAAGCTGCAACGCTCCCCCCATCTTGCGCTCTCTCGCCTCGTATTTTACACGCATTCGCGCCCGCGCCCTCAGCACAGTCGCGGTTACGAAGGTGAGCAAATTCCAGACCTAAACTTTTCTGGAAGATTTTTTTCTCTACTGCTAGTCTATTTCTCACTTCATATTCGTGTTCAAGAGCCGCCCCAGTTTCATCATGGGGCATGACTTTGAGCCTCGCTAAGTCAACTGACCACTGAGCTACTTTTAGCTTCCCAATCAGTGGGGAGCCGCGCGATTGCATAACCAGTTACTCACAACTCTTACTCTGAGAAAATGTCCATTTACTTATGAGACTATTTCTCAAACGCAAATAAGATGAGCTAATCTTCTAGGAATCGAAGTATACTTTTTCCAGTACCCACCTAATATCCTCCAGATAGGCATTGATTTTCGTCTGCGCATCGGCGAACGATGATCCTTGGGAAGAAGTGTGCATCATGTCGGTGCCAGCAATCGAATGAGAGATCGTCTCAACCATTCCTTGGATGACTCCTATAATGAACAGACTAATGAATGCCATGTCATGATGAATTCAATTGCATCTGGTTCCCTACATGCAATTTTGCACAAAATATGGGTGGTGTTATGGCCGAGCTGGGAGGTGATGTGCAAAAAACGCGCCCGAGAGCAACCGCCAAATCGACTCGTACCATCTTCGACCGTTCAAATTTCACGTGATGCTAACACGTTTCTTAGAATGGCCAAGGTTCTAGAAGGGGTCAGGTTCCCCGCCCACCGAGGACAAAAAATTGCGGGAAAAATAGCCGTTCCAGAATCGCTGCCCGTCGTCGCGGCGTCGCGACGTCGCGTCGCGCGCGACGAGCGGCAAACTCGCGCGGCGTGCGGAGAGGCCTCACCACACATCCCATCGAAACTGCTCACCTTGTTCGCTGCTGATTGCGCTTACAGTACTCCTCATGTCATCGAGGGCATCTTTCAGTTGTGCTGCCGCTTCATCGACACGAGCATGTGCCTCTATCGCCTAGAATGAGATAATAGATGGATATTGAACTATACTAAAAAGTATAATTAGTGTACTGTAAGCGAAAATTGAACAATTAGCCGATGGAATTTTATACCTTTGGATTTCCTGCGGAGTCACGACATGCGTACATCATTTGCAGCTCGGCCTCCACCACAGTGCGGCACTTGTCGAATAGCTCTGCCTGCTGGCGACTATCGCGCGCGATCGCCGCGGCTTCGCACGCGGATGACGCAAGTGGCTGTACGGTTTCCCAGTGAGCTTCGACACAGTGCGGAAGAGCTTCGCCCTGAAATAAGTGGTATGAAAACTTGGTAACAAAGAAGGTTTTCCTGGCAAGGCCAGATTGAAATAGCAACGATCTCACCCTGGAGACTGCTGCCGATCGCAGTTCGTCAACCTTCTCAGCTAGACTTTGAGTAGAGCACAGGATCGACTGGTGGATTCGTTTCTCAGTGGCTGACGATGAGGGTTGGCTTTGAGCTCCGCTCATATCCAGAGAGCTTCGCTCCACATCCACAATTAGCTGAAGAAATTGGATTATGTAATCCTGCCCTTCCATAGACATTACCACTCCCCCAATATTTCTTTCGAGAGTTCAAACTGCAAAGCGATAGCAGATAGCGCGTCAGAATAGCCACCGACTCCAGAGTATATCCCCAGAAGCCCAGTAAAGGAATATAAAGGGAAAAAATAGTTGAAAATCGTTCTGCCTAACTAACAACCACATCTTAGGGGACACTTGAAGAAAGAACCTTTGCTTAAAAGGAATCTTCCACGGACCATGGACCAGTGGGCGGGACCGGAAGTGGTTTTGCGACGAAATGCATGGTAGGTACGGATCCACGTTCATGGGAAGGTTTGAAGTGAATCCTGTTCACGTTCGTGCGTTCGACACGTGGATCCGTACCTACCATGCATTTCGTCACAAAAACTTCCGGTCCCGCCCACTGGTCCATGGTCCGTGGAAGATTCCTTTAAAGGCAACGGCGAAGAAGAGTCCGGAGTTAATTGTAACAGCGGGGATGCAACTGCTACCAGTTCGGGTGAAATGTTAATGATTGTTGACTGAGCCACTAACCTGTTCCAGTTGACGAATGCATTTATCCATTTCGGCTTGTCCTGGGGCGGCCGCATGAATCGAGCTCACCAATCGTTTGATGGATTCGCTGACCTGAACAAGGAAATTATTCTTTGATTCCCGAACAATGACCTTTACTGCAAAATAATGCGGAAGTGGATAATGGGTGGGGTTGGCGAGAAGGCAGAGACGCAGATACGGACAACGGACGAGACGAGCGCGTACTGTGGCGTTTTAGTGTCAAGTGGAATAGAATGTACCATAGCACGTCCCACATCGCACAATACGCGCTGCGCTTCGTCCGGAGACCTATACGCGCCTCTGCCTTCTCGCCACACGCTCCTGTCTGGACCCGTCCTGAGTGCGGAGCAAAATCGTGGTCCGATTCTCTCGACAGACGAGATTTACCGACACCTCGAGCAGGTTCGTTAGTTTGTTTGCATGTTTTGGAAGTATTTTGGGGAACTGCAAAGCTACGGTGAGATCGTGCACGACAAGTGGCGCACCTGAACCGTGTCAATGGTTCTGGTCACACTTTCTTAATCAAATCACGCCTCATTACCCAGTCAAACTTCGATCGAAATTTTTTGCCCAACTTGTATCTCGTATAATTAAACACATAATTTTGGGGAAAAAAAAATAAAGTCAGATGACCTCAATGCACTCCAAATTTTGGATTATATCTAAATGCAGGCGCATACACGAATTCAATGCCACGAGACAGAAACGACTCCGATTAATTTTCTGAGTGGCGGCATAAACACGTCGAGAATTTCCTGTGAAAACAGCCTCTTAGTTACGAGCCTATTCCCAAGAACCTTCTGATCAAGAGGTCAAAACTACTGAAGATCCTCTCACATTCAGTCCACCACCTTTCGTAAACGTGACATTCTTTTGAAAAAGGACTGGAAAGCTTTCGTATCAAATTCAGCGGATTTATCTCCGAACAGCTCCGAGAACTTCCGGGAAGGCCTGCGGAAGTTGAAATCGCGAACTCCCATATGGCCAGAAATATGGTAATTCCGCTCAACACTGATATCCTAATTCCAACAAGAAGTAATAACTAACCTCCTTGCTATTATCGGCAAGGCGTTGCCATGTTGGCGCATCCATTGGTGCTGACGCCAGTGCTTTTGCAGTACTGGAAAACAGACAATTCTTAACTGGACGACTGCATTACTGTATGTTGTTCTGAAGCTAGATCCAGAGCCTCAAAACTAAGCTGCTCAGTATAACCAAAACGCATTCAGGAAGATGGTATAGGTGATACTATCAAATACAGACTAACCTAATCATCTCACAGCTCGAATCCAACATCTGCCTAGTTGCGGTGAGCACGGGAATCTGAGCATCGCGACCCGAAGGGCTTATTCTGGCTGGTACACCAGCAAAGTCCGGATTATCCACATAACTCTCGAGCTGCTCAGTGGCCGATCGGAGTGATTGCGCCGCAGATGTGCACGTTTCTCGAGTCTCAGTACTGAAATAAGCCGACATACACATAACGAAATCTACCGCTCCATAAAAATCATATACAGATGACCAGTCGAGTTACCCACCTTGGTCGGCTGTCAAGTTGCTTAACAGGCAGTGATCAATTTCGCTGTTCCAGCAGCTACTTTACCGGCACAGTTGATGAACTCTTTTGACGTTCACATTCTGTGACGACTCTCAGACGCTTCACGGACACATATTAGCGAGGTTCGATGTGTGTTTCGCCACTACCGTTGCATCCTGAATTGGAAGGGATAAAGTTCTATTTTCAAGGTAGTGCCCACTGCTTGCCGCTCGTTTTTACAGTTTTTGAGGACTTAAAGGCAAGTCTGAGGGTTCTAGACAGGAGTAAAACTTCTTTGCGACAAGAATGTAGAGTGAACGAAGCCGCAGAGCACTGGCCAACTGTCGACATTTAAACAGGTAAGGGCATTAGGCACGGAATGGACCTGATTAATCGCCCACAACAATACACCCGCCCCTAAATCGCGCGTTCATGCACTTTTAATGAAGAGGGGGCTTTATTTCATCCTTGACTGTTTCTAGGTTCCCATTTCATTCCTGTGGTGTTACACTTCACATTCCCGTTGGATCTTAGAGTGCGATAACATGACCCTTATCCCAAGCATTGCCCTCAAAGGGTTTTTGAATCGATTTCGGTGGAGGGGTTAGTTCAACCGGCTACTACTCTATTTCGGATCAACGAGATAGAGCTTCAAGTGAAGACTAACACCACAAGTGAGCGGTCACAAAAGAAGAAATGGGAGTCCTACTTTGTTTCTTGGAGAAACCTGTTCGACTCATATTTAGAGTGTAGACTTGCATCAACGCTTTCTCGGTTTACGGATAGACCTGCGACAGCATTATTCTATCACTTTGCATACGAGATATCCTATGCTCTATATTCTAATAAATGCTCTCGTAGACTTTTGTGGATTTTTTGTTTTTTTTTTTTTTGTGTGTCGGTTTGTGTATCTGTATGTGTGTGTGTGTGTGTGTGTGTGTGTGTGTGTGTATGTATGTATGTGTGTCCGTCCGCAAAATGAAGTGAGTGAGAAGGAAGCTCATGGGATAAACAAACCGCTAACAAATCGGGTAGCTTACAGGATTTGAGATATCAATGTTTTGTAGCAGGATAGTTGTGATAACACTCTCAGGGCTATATAAACACCTGCTTAGCACACTTCCGTTCATTCCACATGGTGCTGCAGTGGCAGCTGGAGGGCAGTGGAGAGAGGAAGGGAGGATGAGGAAGGGAAGCGAAAAATACCGTCATATCATGATTGTGTCCCTTCTACTGTTTGAAACACCATTGTGTTGCATACGCGTCACTTCCACGAGGTGTTGGTGTCACAGGAGGAAGGGACCATAGCGGAGGATAGAAAGCTTGCGCAGGAAAGGAAGGTCCCGGCGGTTGACGGGGGACTAATCTGGTAAATATATTGTAATAGGGGAAATAAGTGGTTTCATAGTAACATGTTGGTTATACTTCGGGTTTGCGGAAGGTTACAAGCCTATACGAAATAGTAATGCTGATTGATTCGTTACGCAACTGTTACATTTCAATCTTTCTGTAGAAACATCTCCGAACAATTCACTTATCATCGATGATCTGTCCTGTGTGTGTAGTTCTGCTTGTCTCATCGCGCTCGCTACACTGTACGAAACCAAATCTCCACTGGCTCCCCCCGCACCTCTCCCGCCCGCGGGTCGCACGCGAATGTCGCCGGTCAATGATCGCCGTTTCTCCGTCGCTCTTCCGGCGGATGCCTGTAAATACCCGATCAGTGCATGAGGCGGTTGATAGAATGTCGACTCGGCCAGGCAGCACCAGCCGTCCACGCCGACTTGCTGAAGGATACGCCGGCGTCACATTAGGCACTACCTCTTGACTGGTTAACGTGTCCAGTTTGAACATCCATTGACTGACCTGACGTTAGTGCACAGCGCCCGCGTATCCATCGCTTTAGCGTTTCGAGCGATACCGGTCATCGACTCGCCAAGGTGTCTTGACTGCTCAGTCATTGTGTCCAGACATCCGAAATACGTATTGCTATTGACTGGCACGTTAGCGTGTTCGGTCAAATGACGTATTCCCTGAAAAAAGAAAACGGCCTGTAGAGTCGTTATGTCAGTCACTTAGAAGTGATCTGGGCGATAAGAACAAAATGCGGGGAGTTTTATAAAGTTTCTTCTGAAGAATTAGATTCTCAGTACATTAATGGTAGTGGCGCGATAATGGCATTTTCCCTTCCTGTGATGTATTGGGTCTCAAATTCTCTCTTCTTTGCTGCATCACGAAACGCAAGTGGCACGACAAGTGGTTACCCGTTGAGATAGGTTCTTGAAACGCTTCCATATTTCGATCCCCTATCAACGCTCATCGCGCCTACAGCTTTCCTTAGTGTTCTTGGTACTTACACTGATGCAACAGACTAGTCATGTCTGATCCGCGCTCTGGGTCGTCCTAGTCCGTATCACAGCTTGTACTCACGTCTCGGCTAGTCCGTATAGTTACTCACTGGCAGAGGTACCGAGTTACAGCGTACCGCGCTTAAAGCCACGAGTCAGGATCAGGCGGTCATAGAAGGCCTTTCCATCACTAACATGGCCAGTACTGCGCTCAGAGGGGTGACGCCACGCTCCTGGACTCGAGATTGCGCGGCGCAAAGGCCTGGCCTACTACTACTACAGCGATGGCTTCGTTGCATCAGCTAGGCCCGCCCACCGCGGGATGCGTGGTGCGTGGCTGGCATAACGTGTGAAATCAGCTAGGTTGATTGCCGTATCAACCGATGGAACGGCTGGCATATCCGGAAAACTCGTTTGGACGTGGCTCTCCCCCGAGCAAGCCTCCTTCACTGCTAGTGGGAGGGGGGTTTCGTTTTCGGTCTTGTCGACGGTTTCTTTGCGTTTTTTCTTCACTGTCGTTCCCGCATCCTTACACTCTAATCATTCAGGCCTATAATGCGAACAACACAACCTGCTTTTGGCCTTAAAGGTATTGATTGTTCATGCCAGGATCTAAAACCTCTCAACGCATCTCGCTTATAACCACTTGCTGATGGGTCAACTCCCCAAGTAGGACATTGACTTTCAGCCTAGTTCTCGCAATAAATATTTTTATAGGGGCTTCATCGTGTCTCTAAAAGTTTAAAAATTTACTGGCATCTTCGTGAGTGACCGCGTCGTCATTCACGCTGCATGGCTTGCCTCGATCGCTGACTGCTCACAATCTCGCTTCACCGTCTCGATGAGCTTACGCGACGATTGCGACACGGTGTTCGTCTGCGTTACGTCGCTTGAGGCCGCGCTGAAGTACGACAGCAGCGTCACTGATTCCTCTGGCTGTTTCGCCAGCGTTGATCAACGTTTCTGACGAGCGCGATTCATGTCCATTAATAGCCGGTTAATTCAATTGAATAGCTTCAATCGGTGCTATGGAAGAATATGAGCGCGCAGCCTACCGGAGATTCTTGATGGACGCAATTAACCGGTGTGTGGAAGCGGGCGTGTAGGTGAGACGAAAGCGTTCACAGCTTCTTGATTATTTGGCTCCTCTTTAGCAGAGCGAACTATCAGCTCGACCTTTCGTCTGGCGCGTTCGACAAGAGTCCGAAGACCGCGACGGCGAACATCTGAGTTCGTCGAACTGTCGACGACACGCCATTGTACCGGAATGTTGGCGTGATTCGCTCTTCCTGCGGATGGTTGCGTTGTCAGGAAGACATGCGATCACGAGACCGCAGATTACTATACCGTGAAATCCACTTATTTGAATGAAGAAAGGAGCGGGGCTACGTTATCCTCTATGGGAGGAGGCAAGGCAGTATGCTAAAGGACACACCTGTTAGCTGCATCAGCAAGCACTTTGGGGGGGGCTTTGTTCGCGCAACATGAATCGATAATACTCGTCCAGAATATCATGAACGATGATACGTGACGAGACAATGAAACTGCAAAAATAGAAAAGATGTAAAGATATTTCTATGCGAAGATCGTGAAGTAATTCCACAAGTCTGTGTGATAGGCCTAAGAAAACAATCACATGATGTGCAATCTCGTGCATGGAAACCACTCAAAAGGGTGCCAGGTTCCTACAAAATAAGCTGCAGCAGCTGCAATGTTCCCCGTGCGCAGCAGACTGTTGCCTGGTGCCTCCTCATCTGTAGTACTCTCTCGCATTACTCTAGCGCTCTCCTCTCCACGCTCAGTCTCTCATTGCCTTCGCCACAGTCAAATCAAAAGGGTGAGCAAGCCTTGATCCTGAGGGAATGTGGACAGATCTCTGCCTTTTTCTTCACTTTTTCTTCCCGATTCCGACCATCTTCTAATGTAGGGTGTTCGCAGGACATACCAATTTGATTCTCGCGCCGCTTCATCAAAGACCTTTTGAATAAGGAAGTCCAAAAAGTTATATAACGACATACGTATATCAAGGATGGATATCAGTCCTTGTTGACACGACCTCGGTCACCGCGCCAGTGAATGCTCGGAGGCTCTGAGCTGCTTCTACCGCCGACGCACCGATGTGTTGTTTTTTTTTTTTTTTTTTTTTTTTTTTTTTTTTTTTTTTTTTTTTTTTTTTTTTTTTTTTTTTTTTTTTTTTTTTTTTTTTTTTTTTTTTTTTTTTTTTTTTTTTTTTTTTTTTTTTTTTTTGGCGCTGACATCTAGCTGGGCGATTACTGCCGTAGCCTAACCTGTAAATTCTAGGTACATGTAATAGGGGCGCAAAAAGGATTCAGACCATATCCTGCCTAGCGCGTTTTTTTTTTTACCTGTCTCGCTGACGACATCAGATGCGATGTGGCAGATTGAGACGTCGCTCCTCGCGGTGGAGATAGTTGTTTCATAAGTGCCGCCTTCTGTACGTCTTGGATTTCCTGGTCGAGCTCCTAAAAAGCTGAGCTGATTATTTTCAACTACTGAACAGTAAGCTGGTGTCAGAGTCCGCGATCCGTCGCGCGACTTGCGCAATTCGCACGTATGACCTGATCGCGGACTATGAACAACCTGAATCGAAAATGTGGAGCGGGGCTGGAGAGGGCGGGGAACCCGCGGGATGAGTGTGCTCGGTGTGTGGGTAAGGAGGGTTGAATGAAGTTCAGCTGTTGTGCAGGAATTCAAGGCAGTGGCGCAGCTCGGCGAGGTTGGTCGACAGGCCGTTGCTGGCCTGCTGGAGATTCGAAGCGATGTGGTTCTCGCTCACATGAGCCACTGATGTACGCGCCACTTCCACAAGACGAGTTGCTGGTGCCAAAATCTGGAAAAAAGGAGAAGCTGAGAAATCATGCGTGATTTACGGGACAATCCCGAGGATTTGATGGCCCGCAACCAACCTGATGTGCATCGCGTATGAGACGACTTTGAGCGCGGAACTTTTCGCTGGCCGTTTGGCCTGCTGACTTTCTCGGATCGAAGTGATCAGCCTGAAGTGAACAAAAAATAAGAGCCAATAAAAGTGCTACCGTAAACGGTTACCGTATCAAACTTACTTCGGAATATACTCAGCTGTCTCGGTGCACTCATAGACGAGATTCTCCACGGTAGTCTTGGTCTTGATCAATTCCTAAATCGATAAATCAATAAATAACCGAATAAATGAGCAGCATGAGGGTTATTGATCGCACAATGCATGCCAATTAGTAGGCTACTTCGTTCTTTAGAGAGACGTGACACTAGGCTAACCAAAAAGGAGCACCGCACACCGCCACTTACTTGTTCCCTCCCCGTTTCTGCGGGTTGATCTCAACTCAATCGATATGCATAGAATGTGTATGTGTGACAAAAACCGATTTGGGTCCATATAGTTTTATTCTAGTCCCAAATTTACATGTACACAAATCGGAGAAGAATAATAATGATGGTAATCATGAAAGCATAGAATCGTTCGCGAACACGTTCGCCTTTAGACGGCTTATTCCAACAGAAATAAACGTGATCTATTTAATTAATAGCGGTTCTCATGACTAAATAGCGAAAAGCACGCGAAAAAATCACGGCAGTGAAGGAAAGGGGGCGGAGTTTGTGCAATGTGCTCGAGTGACTGTGATTGGCAGGGCAATTTGTGGGCGTGGTTTAACACAAATGGATGTGTGATGTGGTTTTCTTTGTGTGATATGTGCGTGCACATCGATTGAATTCTGGTTGGCGATTAACGGATACGTAGTATGGTGTGCGTGTCATCAACTAGAAGCTGCTCCGTGACCTCCGTTCGTTTGCGCGTCTCCTGAACGAAGCAGGCTACTACCCGGTTCAGTGCAGGTTCATCGTGCACACATGCAAACAGAACGCACTTGACGTGTCTCAAAAGTCGTGCACCGAAACAACGTTGGAAAAGAGGGGCAGAATACCATGCACGACTTTTGGGACACGAAGTGCATTCTCTCAGCAACGTGAAACAGTAACAATAAAATGCGATTTGAAAACTATGCCGCCACAACTCTTTGAGTGACAGTTCCTTCTTTCAAAGCCAGCCTAGCTCGTGAAAAGGCCGAGTCGCATGACGCACGAATGTAACGCTCGTCGCGCTAAGGCCGATGTCAGACTTTGCGAATCGAGCGATTTGCTAGCGTCCACAGTCGCGTCGCAGCCAGCGAACCGCATCGCGACCGCCGACGCTAGCGAATCGCTAGTGGCGAATCACTCAACTTGCAAAGTCTGAGATCGGCCTAACTGACACCCAACGCCGGTGATTTTCTGAGAGCTTATTATTTTTAGCGCATCAACTCTGGGGGTCGCGACGTACGGCGGTCCCTATTTTTCACGGCAAGGAGCTTTGAGTTTTGAAAAAGGCGACATAGTTTCCAAAACGCGAAACAAGCTGAATCCCACCTAGATCTCACGAAACTCACCTTTTTAAAAATATTACAACAAAATCTACGGTATTAAACCACAACTACGCCATTGTAGCGCCTACGAGAACATGCAGATGCTCTCATATACTGCAGTACATTCTACGAAGTTAAGCAAGGGGAAAGAAAGCATCACTAACGCTTCAACAGAATGTCTACGGCTGAGTGCTCTAGCAAGGCATGCCACAAAAAGTATAAATGGTTCACCTTGGCGGCGTTGGCGGCTGCAATCGTCTGCGTTGCCTCGTATGCCGTTTGACGAGCAGCTTGCTCCAGCTTCTCCATAATGTGTTTTGCCTGCTGCTCACTGGTCGTCTCATTTGTTACAGTGACCAGTCGTTCGGCGGCGTTACGTAAGGCCATTTCTGATTCGGCTTCTGTTGTCGTGACTCGCATTCCCTGATGAAACATGAGTCAGATAGGCAAAATAACATGAGAAGTTGAAACAAATGCAAGGCGCGCAGTGCCTAATCTAATGACGACTTTACAGTAAGATTTTTCTTCTATCAAAGAGGCGCCCTAAAGTTTGAGGAAGAGAACCTCTGAGTGTCAGATTGAGGAGCTAGGAAATTCCCTTGGTCGGCTAATAATCTCTTGTGGTATTTTCCGAAGGTCATTGGCACTTGGAGAGCACTCTGTGTTGGTCGTGCGAGAAGCCACCAGTTTCAAAGGCCAATCATGGATGTTCTCCCCCTCCTTTGTATCTGCGGACGCTGTGAATTCAAAAATCTGAGCTGTTATAGGAAGGTAAGAAAAGGAATGTGAGGAAGCTACACGTTTGTTTTCTGAATCCTGGAGATCATCCAGCCCCCTGAGTTGCCCCTTTTAGACAGCTTCGACCTACGAAAGGATTGGCTCATCCGCTACATTCGTTTGATTGAAGTAAAGTATAAAGTGCCGAAACATTGTAGGAGAAGTGAATAGACCTCTTTTCTAAAAGAACCTACAAGGCCAATGTCCTATCAAAACTAACCCTTGTGGCGTTGATCATGTCACTGGTGGCGGTTGCGACACGTCGAGCAGCAGCCAATAGACGATCCTTTTGCTCAGGATGCTCATGCGCTTCATGTTCGAACTGCTCCATAAGAATTTGACTGTGTCGAATGACCTTCTTTGCCTCACGTGTAAGATCTTCGCTGGGACCCTGAAACATGATTCTATGACTCGACAGTATCTCCTGAAAAGTCTGAAAGTTCTCGTCTTGAGGGAGGGGAGCGTCTTTGAACACGGACAGGTGGTGGTGAAAATATAGCAATGGGTAAAACCTTCATCAACAGTTTCAACTTTCACCAATTTCGTTAAGCTTTTCCATAGAAACCAGTAAGATTACACCTCTAGAGATTTCTGCACACAGTGGAATTTGGGCGAGGCTATTTTGTTACCGGAGTACCCTGGAAGAGTGCTTGAAAGGCGCAGGAACAGAATTTCAAAAGTATGATTTCCAGCATACTTCAGTACTGGTTCTCTACCTGCATAACTGTCCCCCGTACCAGTACTCACCCCAAGCTCCCTTTCTATTTGAAACGAGAAAATTAGCAGCACCGCAACACTCAATCCTAAAAGAGCCAACCTGGTGTGCGATCAATCTGTGAGTCGTTCTCAACACTTCATTATACTGCTCTTCCTCTGTGGTTCTCGTGATCTTTGGTGAAGTCTTCACATGTTCCAATAGGCTGTCCAGGGCATGCGTAACCTATAACAAAACCATTAAGTTAATCACAGATGGTGAACCTAACCCGATCCTTCACCTGTCTGGCAGCTTCATGGATGTCCGTGAGCGATTGTCGACCGCCAGTATGGCTTCGTTCACAAGCATATTCAGCATCATGCAGCAATTCCGTTACCGCATGCGATACCTGAACGAGTTTAGAGTAAATAAAAATATAACAAATCGTTCTTTAAACTGATCATTCCCTTTTCTGAGATACGCTAGCAAATTGCGTGCTGGGGTCAGCAATGTACAGATCAGTGCTGTCTCTCTTGGCCGATGTCAGACTTTGCGAATCGCGCGATTCGCTAGCGTCCGCGGTCGCGTTGCGGTACCAGCCAATTGAGTGATTCACTGGCCGCGACGCGACCGCAGACGCTAGCGAATCGCGCGATTCGCAAAGTCTGACATCGGCCTAAGGCAAGTCTCTTACTGAACAAACGACCCTGGACGAATGGATGATTAGGCTGGTCTGGGAGAGATTTGATTTGTGGGATCTTCTCAGGGCTGCAGGCGTCATTTGGCAGAGCTTCTATCCTGGCGCCACATAAATGAACTAACACCCCACGAAATGTATTTACAAAGCTCATAAGTCATCCCCAATGGTGCTGTTTTGACGTGCGTGACTCGCTTCGGCGCAAAAGCGATTGTTGTTATTTGCTAACCTTCCACCACCACAATCCCCAGCCATGCATGCATCCATGAATCTTCCAGTTCGGAAATGGAATCATGTTTTCAAACAGATATTCTTCTCCTAGTTATCATTCGAAATTCTCTTTAAACCATATAAAGTTGTTCCAGCACATAAAGCAAATCCACCATCAAATTCACCTCAAGATGCGGCGGTTGAGCTGGAAAAGTCGCACAATTGCTACCTATTGACTCCCGGAATAAATTCTGCCTACGTAGAGCAAGCCCCCATCCCTTCCGAGTTCACTAACAGCTATCTGGCCCTTCCAAAAAGATAAAATTACTTCTACGTACGGTCTGACCCCATATGTTCACTCTATAAGCCAAAGTGCGTCGATGCTCCAACCATTTCGAGCTATCAAAAGATGCATGGCTCACCCCTAGGACCTCTCGAATCTACCATCAAGCGTATTGCAACGTCGTTTTATGCTCTTGATTTCAAAGGACAAGCGAGTGTTGCTCGAGCTGTCAAAAAAGCTTATCTCACCTGCTTAGCGGCACTTGTTAAGAGTTGCTCTTGACACGCGTTGCTTTCGATCGTTGGCGCGACAACTCGGGCGCACGCGACGAGTTGCGACGTCGCGAATGCGCACTGCGTCGCTGAGTGGATGACTTTCTCCTGTAGAACCGGCTCCTCGCAGTCTGCAGAGATGGTTTTTGCTCTGAAAAGATTTTTATGAGATACTGATTGCTAATATCACTAGTAATGGCATCTTTGCTGAAATCCTTCCTTATCAGCCGAAACCTTTTCTTGCTCCGCGACCCATAAAAGAACAACAAGTAGAGCAATAAAATTTCATCAGCAGAAGATTCATGTTTCTCCTTGCCTATTCAGCTCCATTGCCCATTTGAGAGTTATAGGGTCAGACAGGCAAAAGGCAAAAACACGCCAGCAACGTTGCCCTTACTGTGACCTGCCCTGATGCGCTAAAAACTGGAGGCCTCCTTGATGCACCAACAAACACCAACTTTTCCTTCATCAAGAAGTAACTTGGGTTCAACGTAAAGTCGACTCAATTTTTGTTTTTGATAGGCTTCCCTTTCAGCTGAAAATAAAGCTCACATCACTCGAGAAGCAAATCGTTGAAAACGCTTGGATAAGCTTCACCCAAATCTATAGCAGTCTCCATCTCGCACTACTTCAATCTACCATTTGATTACCATCTCTCAATACCTAACCCTTGCGGGGTTAGGGGCGAGCGATAAGCGTAGAATTTGAGCTCACTCTGTATATCGGAGCCACTACTGTATCCATATGTAAGAAGGTCGGTACGGGTCATAAAAATCCAGAGTGTTTCAAGATTTTATTTTCTTGGTTCACCCTCACAGACATATTTGTATCTATTAACAAAAGACTAGAATCACGGGCTACCATCCGCACCTTTCAAGTTCCGCCTATTTATGAAAAACGCACGCACACAAAAAAAAGGGGAATAAAATGAGAAGAGACACGCTAGGGAGGCCCCCGGATAGGCCACGAGGCAGACACATAAGTCGCTGGCTAAAACAGACTGTTTACAGCAGGTACCACCGTTTACGACTCGTCCCCTGATAACTACCAGGAATGAAAAGTGCGCCGACTTGCATTACGCTATTTATCTATAAGCCAATCAATATATCATGACAAGTTTCAACGTCCCTGGACGTGATAGTGAATGCAATCCGTCAGCTGGCAGAATTCTTGCTGCACTTCGTGAGCTTCTCTGCGCTTTGCGCCGGCGACAAATGAGCTTCTGCTCGCCAGAAGTCATTCAATCAACCAGAGATGGTATCACGGGACTGACACCCCAAACAGATTGAGAAATGTGCAAAGGCGAACACTTGAACGCTCAAGGCCGAAAACCCAATGTAGCCACGTTCGACCAATGGGCACTCGAACAGGGAATTATTGACTAACAATTCCTGAAAAAATGTGGGAAAAGATGAATTCCCCCTCTTATAGAAAAGCGGCGCCGGCAAGCAGGGCTTTTTTCTTACACGAATCGTATAACGAAAATGCAGGATAAGGGAGCAATTTGAATGTGGAATTGGAAGTCAATATACTCTCGCCTCAGTCACGGGTCATCACCTTCCTTGACTAGAATATTATACGAAAATATTTTGCGAGGAAAACTAATCCATTTAATGCGCATTATAGCCCGATTTTTCTTGAAAGTATCTTAACCCATTCGTGACAATGGCAGCCACCGGTGGCTGACAAAGATCTCACTTGTACAATGGTATCCACCGGTGGCTACCGTGTTTCAAATAAAATTTGGAAAGTTTTCTTTCCTGAAAAGAGTCTTTATACCCTCATTCATCAATGCTACGCGAGCGCCGGTAAGAAAATCTAGATCCACTCAATCTTAAATCGAAAAAATTCCTGACTCTCGCTGCTACGCAATCCTCGCGTTGCGACTAGGTGAACCAAGAAAGGGCAACACCAAGCAGGTAGATGGCAGAATAACAAAGTCGACGTGATCTTTGCTCAAGCCTTTGTTCGCCAGCTCCCGACAATATCCTTCAAAAGTGTGTCAATAGAAGAACATCAATATGATCGTCAAATGATGACAACTATATAACACCGCAAGCGGAGAATCCTATTCTCAACTAAATTTTTATTACATCATAAAAGTATAACATCTAACCGACGCTATCCATAAGGATGGAACAATAATAAGGTTAGCTTGCCGCGACATGTACCAGATCTAGAGCACCGGTCGAAAGGTGGATTCGAGCTAAATGTGCTTATCCTTTTTTGAGACCTACGAACTAAGCAAATGTTCGACGAAATTAGGGTCAGCGTGTCCCAAACCTAAATGACTGTGAATCCAACCCAAGTACGGTAAAAAAAAGGCATTGCTTTGATAGGCCGATATTGTGTACACACTAGGACCTGAAAAAAATTTTCTCTTTTTCGCCGGGGTTAACTTTAACCTTCCTACCCCAATTAATCCAAGAAATAGCCTATAATCCGATTCGATAATGAAAGTACTTTTTTGCAAATGTGATGATAAGGCGCTTGATATAGCTCCCATGGGTCTAATCTGGTTCACAGATAAGAGCGTAGCTGATTTCAATGTGTCGTTGATCGATTTCTAATCGCGGAAAACAATCCCCATATTTATGATTGATCGATGGCGATTCCAGAAACTGTCTATATAACCGAATGACACAGTCACGACTGATACAGTGGCGGGGAAAACCTTCTGAGTGCCCATTTTAGATACTCTTACTGCTACAAACTAGTACTGATCCAAGAAGAACTTGTCTTCCACCAAGACAACTTGTCACATTATTGAACAATAGGCTCCAAAGAACAAGAGTGATGGACGTTTTGGGAGTCTCAGCGAATCAAACGACGAGAACGTCCAATCTAGCGTATAATAAAAGCGTTGCAGCAAAACAACAACAACATCACAAAACGAACCTGCGTAACGTGTTGCGAACCAATAGAAATAGAAATATAATTCTTGTAGACCTTTCGAACGCATCGATGACGAACGAATTTCACAATGAATGAATAAATTGCGAATTCGCCTTCTGTTCGATGACAGAAGAAAAAAAACGATGACGTCGATGATAGCTATCCGACGACCAGCGTTGACAGATCAACGACGCTCAGAGATGGAGCAGGGTCGTGGCCGTCGTTGTAGAGCGAAACGAGTTTCCACGTCCAAGCCGATTGCACACGAGATCCGCACCGTCGCAGCTGTACGTGATCAGCAATCACAAACTAACTGTTACGTAAGCCGGCGCGACGGAAGCCTTACAACGGTTCTCTGTCTGATGGCGGCGGTGCGATGCGTGCGCGACGTGAAGAAGACGGTGCGGTGCGATGGCGAGAAAACCGGGTCTTTTCGGGCATGCGTTAGCCTTGACGGGAAAAACTGTCATAGAAAATAATCTTAGAAGTAATTCGATCGACAGCGCTCGGTGGGTGTGGCTCTAGCCGATGGACAACAATATTTGATATTTCAAGGAAAAAAAAGCAGAACATGACAAGCAGGATTTGCATCAGGTGAGGTGACATCCACAAGATTGACCTTGTCACTTGTAGATACCTAAGCTAAAGCTTATCTGTGATGTGGTGGAAGTCGTCAAGAGCCGGGAACTCTCCGAAAAAGAACGACGCAGGAGGCTTAGGGGAGTTGTAAAAGTGCAAAAACTGACGAAATCCTTCTATTATAAGAACTCTTATGAGAAGAACGAGAGCTTTCCAGCGATTACGGGACTAAAGAAGGTCATGTTGAGGGCCTCGACCCTCCAACCACCAAACCGGTCCATTGAGCTAGTTCTCCCCGTCAAATTCACCAACCAACTACGGTCATCAGGGGAAGTCAACTCCATAACGCAACTCTCCAATACGCCGACGAGATAGAGCCTAGAAGGAATTGGGCGGCGCGAAAGTCCATTTTTCAAGCTTCCCTTATTGTTAGGCACCACTCACGAAGGATAAAAGTGAAGCACTAGTAGTTGATAACACCTTTCCAGAATGCGCCGTATATCACACTTCCACTCAGAATCTTATTACGATAAGACTAGGCAAATTAGCCAAAAACAATACTGCATGGCCTGACACAGATTTAACAAAAGCAGTAAACCTAATCGTCTCAAGAGGCTGTTATCTGTAAGTCGTCTGTTAAGCTGACACGATATACGAAGATTCGTAGTCTGAGAGAAACGATCCATATAGGGATCAAGACCTCATAGTGGTCGAGAGCGCCAACTCTTCGCTGCACCATCCGCCGGGCTTTGTACCACATATATTTAGTTTCTATATCATATATATATTCCTAAATGAATCACGGTCCCAACCGGTCCAAAAAGCAGTAGCTTTATCGTCTCAAACGGCTCTGGTACCTACTGATCGATCCGGTAGGACGGAAAATTTGGAGGCCTGGGCGGGAACATTCGTAAGCTTACGCGAAGACCATGTTGTGGCACTTTCTGAGGGAAGCGTTCAATCCACTAAAGCACCCAATAAGAGGCATATCTCGCATTAGCAGACACGATTCTAAAAGGCTCGTGTCGGAAACATTCGTAATACACCCATAACTGCGCCACTTTAACGAACAGCCGTAACTTCCAGATAACTCCCACTCAACCAATAACATGAAAAAAGGTTGATTTCTTTGATGTAAACGTTTAAACCCTTCCGAAACAGCGACACATGTAAGAGAGAAGACGGAACTCACCATGATTGTAGAGTTGGGAGAGTGAGCGTGACTTGTGCCGAAGTCCGAGGAGGGTCCAAAACTGCCGCCGCTTCCAGCAGCCTCCACAGCAATCACCCTATCGGATCTAGAGCCCTCCCGCGGGGCAACTGCCACCATCTAGCGCGAAAGATACATGGATGGCGAGCGGCAAGTGTGGGTTTGAAGCTCTACGCAATCGCATGCTCTCTCCAAGCACATCTAACCAATCGGCTCTGGTCCCATGGGTGTGGTGTCAAGAGTCGCACACATTTGCATAGCATCCATCATTGGCAGCAGGCCAAACCGACGCAACGACAAATAGCCCCCAGTGGGCATATGCGATCGGCCGTTACAGACAGGCCACATTCTAACGTCATCCCAATTCGACGGCTTCGAAAACATTCGAGAAACATTACATTGAAAAAGCATAGGCTATTCAGCGGATCCATAAGGAGTCAAAAGGGTAAGCAATGAATGAGAAAACTATGAGACCACTTATTCAGACCACCAAGGAGCCCGACACTGCACAATTGCAACAGTAAAATACAATGTTAACAAGTACCGGACTTCGCATAGTAAAACAAGTGGGACAAGCTCGGACGAAGTACAGAGCGGAGGCAACACTGCACGACTGCAGGGGAATTTCCCTGTCAAATCCTCTTCTGCTCTGGAACCAGAGTTCATGGCTTGATCAGAGTCGTAATTAGGCCACCGCTATTGCAAGATACGAGGCATCCCTAAGCTTGGGAGGGGGCAGGAACTTGGGGAAAAATGAAGTAGTGGTTTCCTCCATCCTTGGGTTTCTCCAACTCGCTAAGCCTTAGCCTCGAATTAACAAAGGGTTTCTACGCAATCTGCAATGCATTCCCCTACTTGCGATAGCCCCAATATACCTACATACGACCGTATTGTCATCAAGTATTTCCCTGTACTCCATTTTGCGGTAAGCTCGGGTGTTAAAAACCAATTCTATTCATGTAGACTGTTAATTGAGAAGAACAGAAAATTACGGTCTTGACTGAATTACCTGGCCAACGTGCAAGTATTACCGTAGCCCCCTAGCTTTACATTTTACGATTCGGATTCCTTTCAAATTTTTCTTATGCCATGAAAAGACCAGACACTGGCCATTGACCCTTGGCTGTAACGATACCGTACCTGAGCACAAGTTGAGCGGTGCTGGTGGCCACGTTCTTGGCCTTCTGAACGAGATGATCATGGAAGTACGATTGTTCGTGTGTCGGCTCATCCATCGTATTGATGACTTGCTGTGAGAAATCGCCAACTCGTCCAGCTGCCGCCAGTACGGTCGTTCTTTTCTCCTTAAAAAGCAATAAATCTGACTGGCAACGTAAATGGAGACAATTATCCCTATTTCCCAGGGGTAGTGCTGGGATGAGTTATCGTGAAAATTACATAATAACGCTTCGCAAACTGTAGTCATTTTTTGCAACGCTACTTTAGCACCCAATAAATACAGCATCAAGTAAGTCAAAAATTTTGATGAAGAGGTGATTAAGTGGAATCACTTTTGGTTTATGGATGGTAATAATTAACTGGAGAATTGGCATTTGTTTTCAAAACTAATCTTCTAACAAATCTCGTGTTCAGGATTGACGGCATGAAGGAAGTCGCCGAACGCTCCACAAAGCTTTCGAGTGGCTTCGATGAGATCGTCGCTGAAAAACTTGTTATTTTGCTAATCATTCCAAACTCTTCGTTAAGAAAAGACAGTGAATATTTTTGAATAACTAAAAAATTATACCAATAGAAAAACCATCTCTAATAGTGATCGCGTAAAAAGCCCTCAAAGACTCGAAAATTAGTCAAGCTAATCAAGTGGGATGTCTCGTATAACTTCGTATAATGTATGCTATACGAAGTTGGAGACGGAGCGATTGGTGACGTCGCCACGTGAATTGTAGGTGCCTAGAGGTATCCGAGGCACGCCCCCCACGCGTTAATGGTCGGAGCCTAACCAACGTGTTAATGCCGTAAGTCAGAAAACCATTAGAAAAAAAAAAAAAAAAAAACACACAACCACCATGAAAACGCTTCAGAATAGTCCGGCCCCAGATGGCATCTGCACGTTTTAAGTGCAAAAGGAGATTAGGGTAGCCATTCCTCGACTGCTAGTAAGCCCTTGCTTTCTGTCACTGGCTCACACATGTAGCTACTCTATTTGAACCACACAGGATACTCATCAAATGAGTTTATTTACTATCATTAGGCACTATAACCTTTTTCCTTTAATTCCATAAATTCCAATATTGTTTATCAAAATCAAATGTATTCATTTAGTCAATATACAATTAAATTTCATTGCATGCTCCTCTGCATGATAATTTTGTACGTCTACTCAAGGTTTATTCGTCTTTCCCCTGTGTCTTTATTTCGCCAATCCCAACTCACTGATGAGCTCCGGGGATTGACGAAATAATAAGGTTCGTCTGAGGAAGGAGCGAAACGAACCATTTTAAATTATTTCGTATTAGAGGTTTTCATTCTTAGTTAAAGGTAGTGTACGCGATTGTTGGAGGCGGAGCAATTTGGTGACGTCGCTGAGCGTGATTGGTGGAAGGTGCCAGGAGGTGATCCAAGGCACGCCCCCAGCGCGTTAATGGGTCTGATCTACCAACGTGTAATGCCGTCATCAAAACCATTCCACACAAGATCCATGGTGCTCACTGCTTTCAAGAATAGGCTGCAGACTGGCATGTGCCCTGTATAAGTGGCAAACTAAGTTGCATAAACGGTAACCATTCCTCAAGCCTGGTGAATCCACCTTCTTCTACACTGCTCACCATGTAGGCTACTAAATACTTCTATTCTGAACCCACACAGAACGATCAAATTTTTGCCTTTGAGGGTTAAGGAAAAGGCATAGCAGCTGTCGATATTGCTGAAGCTCCCATGTCCTTTCGAGACCAATCTCCTAACGTCATCCGTAAGTGCCTATCGCAGAGTTAAATTTTTTCAAAATTGTACCGTCGAACAGACCAAAGCTTACAAAAATTCGTATGGTGAACATAAATCGACCCCACCTTCGGAGGAAGAAAACAAATCGATTTGAATAGGATTTTTCTGGTCCCCTTCCAGTAACAAATTGTGCAAAGCCACTTCCAGACGATCGATAAAGTTATTACCGTCTTCGATCTGGCATAAACTGCGCCAGATCGCGAACATTTCTTCCCACATCCGGCAGATTTGAACCCGATCGTTGCGATGGCAGTTCCGACACGATCATCATATTCTTCTTGTACCGCAGTCCATTGTACAACCTAGAAACATATGTGTTACTACGGGAATGCCGATTTACGAGTGAAACTACACTGCCACTTTCGCCGAGGGCTGCGACCTTGTTATAAGCGAGGATTCGACAGAACGCAACTTTTCAGTCGTCAGATCCATTAAAGCTTCACAATTTCCATACTCGACCCATTGTACGCTAATACTGAACCCTGACCTTTCTAAAATAACCATGACCGAGATTCTGAAATCGCGCCTTCAAATAACCTCGACGTGGGCCGCCTCAACAACTCCCATCTGCGCATAGATCTAAATAAAGAAAGATCAATCTCAATCATCTTATTGAAAGGAAACGAGTCTTTCAAAACGACTGTCAAACGCAATACGAAACGCAATTGGAGGAGCAAACGAAAACGGAGCAAAAACGTCAAACTAGTCACTAGAAATGGCGTACTATGACAACACCTCTTCTTTGTTTATTTCCTCCACAAGACTTACCAAATTCTAGTACTACACAGATTATGGTTCTCAATTTACACGTCCCCCTTTCGCTCGAAGGAAGCCTTGTAAAAGCCTTCGCCAGCTGTGTGTTGACTGGACTTTGGCGTTGACCGTGGAGCAGCTTATTTACTATTGAAATTTGAACAAATATTCAAATGATTATAACTTTCTTCAAAGTTAACGAATTTTCAATCTGAAAGCTGATTTGGGAGTTTTGTGAAGAGCTTTTTAAATCAGTACTGAAATTACAGGAAGTTATAAGAAATAACAAATTTAGATCAAATAACGAGGAAAATTCGAGACGAGCACGAGTTTTTACACTTTCCGGAGCAATAACTTGCTTCATTTCCGTCAAATTCAAAAAGTTGATACGTCATACAAAACTAGAAGATTTTCTCTATCAAACGGTCGCTAAAGCAGCTTCATACGTCCAGTACTCAAAAAATGGCCACGTTGAGGATTTTTGCAAAATTAACGAGGAAAATTCGTGATGAGTGCGAGTTTTTACGCTTTCCAAAGCCATAACTCCGTTCAAACTCATGCAATCTGGAAAGTTAATACGTCATCATAAACTAGAAGATTTGCTCTTTCTAGAGGCAACTAAAACTGCTAATACGTTCACTATTTAAAAAATGGCCACGTTGAGGATTTTTGCCGAGTACCGCCGAAAGGTACTTTTTCGCTACATTAGCACTATCCCAACGACTATAGCTCCTTGCAGGAGCGATTACATACTGAAGTAGGAGCAGATTCAAATCCTCGTGCTTTTCTCTCTGCAAAAAGTGTAAAATTGTTTAGCGGGTCTCAACTTTAAAGGTTACATGCTTGTGAATTTGACGCTGAAGGCTGCGTTTCTTGTTGAATAGTGTACTCCTCTCTGTAATTTAACATGAACTCTTTCAGAACCCTCTTGATTCTTCCTGAATTAAGATTCGTTATCAAGATAGCCGTAGCTGAAGCGCGCGCAACCAACTGGGCCCACTCTGGGATGCGCCGTGTGCTTCACATCTCGTTGGATTTGAGGACCTACTTGAAAGATAAAATATCCCTAGAAAACGTGCGAATTTCGGATCCTTTGACTTGTGTGATGAAACACTAAAGTCACTAAGAATTGCTAAGCGGACACCTCTAAATCACGAAGATTTTGTGTGGACGGAATCAATTGTTATTGGAAATACTCTGGCCTGGTATCGATTCGATCCTTAATGTTTGTCCTCCGACGATGATCCTACTGTATCAATCGGGCCCGATCTCTCCCCAGCGGGCCAATACGACCCCCCCCCCTCTGTGACATGTCGAGGATTCCTCAACGCACGCTTGACCCTGGTTGACACAGACCTCTCCATTTGAAAGATTATATCTTTATTCAATCACAGTTTCATTAGATGAGATAAAAAAAACTTGAAAGCTAGAAATAATTTTCTTTTCAAAGAGTTTTCAACTTTTGCTAATGTCCAATTCGAAAAGTCATCCCGTTGTTCCGTTCTTCCTGCACACGCGAGTTTCGAACACTCATAATTTTCTGAATAATCATCTTTTGCAGATGTTCGAATGGAAAATAGAAGATTAGCGCATTAAAACAAGCTCGCGAAGCTCGCGATTTTTTTCCAAAGATCACTCTCTCAAAAAATAGTCCCGTTGTTCCGTTTTTGGGGGTTTGTGGTCCGATTTTTGAGAAGGCGCGAGTTTTCGACATTCAAACGTTCATAACTTTCTTCATAATCAACTTTTTGCAGATGTCTAAGGCTAATTAGAAACTAGAAGATTAGAGCTTCCGAATAGTGCTAAAACTTGAAAAAATCACTCGCTCAAAAAATAGTCCCGTTGTTCCGTTTTTTCCACCTTGATTTTTTGGGACCGTTTTTTTTTCGAGAAGCTATTTTCCTGAGACACAACTCTGCAATCTTCAAACATCCATAAAACCTTCAAAGTTCGTATAATGAACAGCGGTAAAAGTACTCAAGTCTACATAAAGAGAGCTCTAGTTCTTCTTCTTCTCCCTGGCGTTAGTCCTGCGCAGTCGCAGGGTCCGCTGTATTTGTCAGTCGTCGCCTTTCTGGACAGGGGCAGTCTGCATGACCGCTCTGACATCCTCGTTTCTGACCCTGTCCAGTCGCGTCCAGCCGCAGGCCCATCTCAGCATCCTCATTTCAGCGAGTGAAGCTGCCTTTCGTGATTCTTGTTCAGGGGCCAGCACTCGCTGCCGTATAGCATCGCAGGCCTTACCACTGTCCGGTACACCTTCCCTTTGAGCGTTCTGGAGCACCTTCGATCGCAGAGGATTCCAGTGGACTCCCTCCATTTCATCCATGCAGCGTTGACCCGAGCCTTCACCGCCTGATCCACACTACCGTCGGCTGCGATGATCTCACCATGGCCGTCCACGATCGGCTCTGCACCCTCTTCGGAGCTCAGGAACTTGGTCTTCTTGACATTCAGCCGGAGCCCACTATCTGGATGTCGTCAGCGTAGAGGATGGTCTTCAGTGGTCCCTTCCATGAGCCCTTCACCAGGACATCTAGTGTTAGGAGGAAGAGGAACGGGCTCAGAGCTGACCCTTGGTGCACCCCAACCGTGATGTCCACCTCCTTCGTTAGGCCGTGTGGGGTGCGTATAGCTGCCTTGGCTCCTTCGTACATGTCCTTCACCAGAGAGATCAGGTGTTCTGGCACGTTTCGTTCCCTGAGCGATCTCCATAGTAGGGTCAACCGTCCGTTGGACAAAGTCCAACGGGGGGTCGTATTTGGCCGACGCTAGAGGGGGGTCGTATTCGCAGGAGTCAACGTTGCAGTACGAAGAGGTTTTTGGGTGTAGATGACGAGAGGTGGTTTTCGCTATAAGGAACCTAATGTGTGTTGTGATGAAGCTCGCAGCTCTT